TAGTCCTCCCAAAAAAAACCCATCAAATTCTCAATCTCAACATATTGACATTAGCAATGACACCGTACATAACACAATGAAAACAACTCTGGGAGTCAACATACCTGCCAATATAATCACTGCTACTCTAATAAAGTTGGTTATTGAAGGGGAAGATAATCCAGATAAACTGCCTCTTTCTTATTCAAGTATATAAAGTATTCAAGTATATAAAATGAAATATAAGATACTTGATTAAGATTTTGAAAAGTTAATAAACTATTGCAGTATCACATAAACCACAAGGATGGTAAGCTTGAATTACATTTTGATGGCAAAATATTAAAGAATTTAATACCTGAGTACTGTGACAAAGCAGAGAACAGGATCTTTGTACTTGTAAATTTTGATGGCAAAAATTATTTGCTAGGTACACCAGACATTGACTCTGGCCCTGGCCTAAACAAGTTTAATTCAATCAGTCACCTTTTGAAGGAAATGGACATAGCCGACAATATGCACTCTATATGCTTTAATACTACCAGCAGCAATACTGGCAAACTGCGTGGAACTATATACAGGTGAATAAAGAATACATTTTAAAAATCTTATTACTAACTTTGTCGTTTGAATTTTTAAATTACTATAGCAATTATGTAAGGCTACAGAAGAATTGATCATAATTTAACTGTGGTAAGTATAAAATGAAAGAATGCTATGTACTTTTAAGACTAAGATCTGATCTTGGCAAGTTTTGACTTGCTGAATAGGTTTGAATGGAAATCTGTTTGTGGAACTTGGCTAGAAGCTCAAGCCATTCAAGCAAAGAACTTGTTCTCTTCTTTCATTTGGTTCTTTGCTTCAATGACTTGAGCTTCTAGCCAAGTTATGGAGATAGTAAAAACCAAAAAGGTTAATTTAAAACTATTGTAAGCAGACATTTATAAAAACTCTAGGCAATCATTTTCAGAAGCATTTTTTTCATTGCGTTATAGTATCTAGATTTAGGAAACATTCAATAAAACATAATAAAATTGTAGACTGGTAAGAAAAGAGATGACTACCATGAGAGAGCAAGAATTGTGTCTTATGTACCTAGACCCAAGCTATATCTGCAAATTTAAAAAATCTGGTGCTAGGCACCATACCAGATTCATGGAGAAAGGTGTTTATTACCTGAAAATTCTCCTTCTTAAAGATTCTGTGAAAAAGCATATAGGTCTAGATTCAGTTCTTAACACCTAGATGGGCAAACTTATTTCTATCTTCTATGCACCCAAGTTTTTGACTAATGAGAAACCAGGCATTGCTCCGTTACAGGTATTCAAACAAAACATAAACATTCATTTTAAATATAAATTTACTATAACTAAATTTCATGCATTAAAACTATGCAGTTATAAAATTACAATATATCATTTTTTCTTTATCAGGACTTGAATTCTATTTGGTAGATTTCCAGGTATGTTAAAGATGAACCTGCTGCAAGTGCAGTATTCAAATCATGGGAAAACCATAGCTGGTATCTAGATCCCACTGTTGTTCTCATTGTGTTGGAAAATTCAAATGATTTAATCACTGAACAAGAAAAGGTGCAAGGGCGAATTAAGTCATCGCGAATTGAAAATTCGGTAAAAAATTTGGTCTTGAAGTTTTTAGTTTCTTGTAAAACTGTTACGAATGGTCCGAAAAAAACACGCAAAAATGGTTTTCAAGGAAAAACAAAATTTGAAGACCAGAAACTTTTACGGAATTTTCAATTCGCGATCATTTAATTCGCCCCTTGAGGAGATAATCACCAAAAAGCGCGTTTTGAATGAGTCGTCACAAAACCACCCCCCATCCCTTATAGCGTGACGTAATTTATGGACGACCCTATAGACGATTTCGTAGTTAGCGTAGCCATCTTGGAAAAATATTCTTGGGAGTGCAAGTTGAACTTTGAACTTTCCGTTTTTATGCAAAATGTCATATAAAAGTATGAAATTTTTTTTAATTTAAAATCAAAATAACTCATAGAATATTAGTTAATTCTTGGTTTATAATTATAAGGAAAAAATGTTAAACTTGTTGCAAGAGCTTTTGCTGCTATGAAACTTATTCTTGAAATTGCACATCATTTTCACGTGTCAACTGGCAGAACATCTTTGAGACAGGCACTAGATGATGTTATTTCTCTTTCATCTGCAACAACAAAATTCAACTCAAAATCACCACAGAACTGCAACAACCATCCATCAAATTTGAATTAGTTTCTTTCATAACTAAAACCTTTTTAGGTTTTAACCATGTTGTTAACTTGTGCATGTCCTGGTATTATTTGTCATTATTACAGAAACCAACTATACATTTGCTATGACTTGGCATTATATTACATACTAGATATTACTTACTAAATGCTTTTATCTTAAAAAAAAGCAATAAAAGTATATTAACTAGTTTTAAACTAATAACTAATTTTTATTATGAGATTAAACAATTCACTGTAATAAAATGCATGCACTAAAGTGAATTGTTGATTTAAATTTTTATATGGTATAGTCTGTGCCATTTAAATTACTAAAATAGAAACTTTACTTTTCAATATAAACTATATGTATAACTAAATAAAAAAATGCAAACTTATTTTATATTATAAAATTTAAAACCATAAAAAAAGGTATAATATCACCATTTTTTTTGGTTTTAAATTGTGAAGATATAATTTCAAGAATAAGTTTCATAGCAGCAAAAGCTCTTGCAACAAGTTTAACATTTTTTCCTTATAATTATAAACCAAGAATTAACTAATAATCTATGAGTTATTTTGATTTTAAATTAAGAAAATTTTCATACTTTTATATGACATTTTGCATAAAAACGGAAAGTTCAAAGTTCAACTTGCACTCCCAAGAATATTTTTCCAAGATGGCTACGCTAACTACGAAATCGTCTATAGGGTCGTCCATAAATTACGTCACGCTATAAGGGATGGGGGGATAATAACTAAATGATAACTAAATGGGATGATAACTAAACCTTTTTTTGAATTAATAATTGAGTTTCGTGGAAAGGGTACTTTTCTCTTTTATGGTGTTGTTATGGAGTAGGTTGAGATTTTTAAAAACAAAGTTGGATCAGGATCATCTTTTGTAGATTTTTCTTCAAGGAAGTGATTTGAACAAACAAAATAGTTTTTAGGGACAACAAAATTTTTTATACCAGTGCTACCATGATGTATCTATTCATTTCTTCTTTCTTTACATGTTGGTAACTTGTGCATTACTAAATTTCCTTCAACATTGCAATGTTTTATCATTTTGTCAGGGTATCTTTTGTCATTATCACAGACACTAGCTAAAGATCTGCTATGACTTGGCATTATACTACATACAATTTATTAAAAATTAGTTTTAAACTAATTAATTTTTTATAATGAAATCAAACAGTTCATGTAATAAAATAATTTACTAAAGTAAATTATTGATTAAAAGTTTTCATACGGTATAGTTAGCAACATTTAAAATACTAAACACAAAATTTAAAACCATGAAAAAAGGTATATCACCTTTCCTTTTGGTTTTAAACTGTGAAGATATAATTTAAAGAATAAGTTCCATAACAGCAAAAGCTCTTGCAACAAGTTTAACATTTTCCCCTAATATTCTTAAACCAAGAATTAACTAATAATCTATGAGTTATTTTGATTTTAAATTAAGAAAATATTTATACTTTTATATGACATTTCGCATAAAAACGGAAAGTTCAAAGTTCAACTTGCACCCCCAAGAATATTTTTCCAAGATAGCTACGCTAACTCTGAAATCGTCTAATAGACGATTTCGGATTTAGCCATTATAAAATGCCCTACTACATGCAACAAGATTTTTGCCGTACCGCAAGATGGCGGAGGCTGGCTACACTTTTAACTCAAGTCACACATATAGTTATATTTATACATCATTGGTCGAAATGAATCTGACTTTTTTCTTCGCAGCAACGAAACGCTGTATAAGCATAATTGCCAGAAATGTTTAATCTGCGTATGCTTATCGACGAATACTTCGTTTTGTGAAAAACAGCTTTTATTTAAAAAATAGAAGTAGGAAATCATTCGCTCTTGTACGTGGCAGTTTCATTGAACTTAAAGCGCTAGTTTAATTTTTTGAAACCTACTACTTTATTTTTAGAGATGATTTTAAATAAGGGTAAATATTTTAAATAACCATTGAAAAATAAGTATAATATAAATAATTAAAAGTACGAGTATTATTAAATATTAGAGATAAATAATTTCTTATAGAAACTGCTTTTGGTGTTGACATTAATTTGTGTTAAATTATTACCAAATATTTTAGGGACTATTTTGATTCTTAAGCAGTTTTTTATTAGTATAGCCGCAAAAAAAGTGGATTAAAAAAAGCAAACTAAAATGCCCTACTACATACAACAAATGAACGACGATGCACCATTAATCAAGAATGCACTCAAAACTAATGTAGCAGTTAAAACTCTTTATTTACACGTTATAATAAAACATAACTCTAAAGTACAATAACAAAAAACTTAAAACATTGAAATGGGTTAAAGAATTTAAAATTAAAAGCAGCAGAAAAAAACTACTTTCTCAAAAGCTAACAGAAATAAAAAAATCCTTTTTTAAAGCATTTTTAAAACAAAACAAAAATTTGTTTAGCAATGAACAAACTATTTACATACATACATACACAGATATATATATATATATATATATATATATATATATATATATATATATATATATATATATATATATATATATATATATATATATATATATATATATATATATATTACTTTTAAAGTTTCCTTTTTAAAGTATCAACTTTACCAACTTAAACTAAAAAAATATCATCAAATAAAAATATAAGAATATTTACAACATTAAAGAATGGTCATCTGCAAATGTTAACAATAAACACAAAAAAATCCAACACCTTACAACAAACACACAAAAAAATGCGTAGCAAAAAATATAGTAAATGATAAAAAAGAAAAAAATATTGCTTCCCATTTTTTTAATTTTATAAACTTAGCACATTTAAATACAATCAGTTTTAACACAAAATAGTAAAATAATGTATATACAAATTTGAAAAAAATAACTGATATCAATTTTGCAATAGCTTTTTTAATGACAAAAAAAAACTATTAAAATATCAAGGAGGTAGAAGCTCGTGTAGACGATACCTATCTCTAATGTGTGGTCTTACATCTTCATTTACTTCTGCTAACTTCTCAAGAAAAGGTAACAACTCTAATAGCTCACAATCATTTTCATCCATAAACCAGGATTCAATTGGAATACCATTTGCCATTTGATATGCAAAGGCTTGTGGAGAGTTATCAACAATCATGGTACGCTCTAAGTCACGCCCTAAAAAACAAGCTAAATTCAAGTCATTTAGTTTTTTTATTAATACCATTTTTTATTAATTTTATCAATGAAGCTCTCATAAAACATTTTTTAAACATAAAATAATAATAGACATATTTGTAAACATTTTATGCAATTTCTTATTTACTAATTTTTTATAAAGTAACATCAAAGCTCTAAAAAAAGTAAACATTATTAAATGTTAAAAAACATCAAATATTTAAAAAGGTGTAATGTACTAATGTACAAAGTAAGTACAACTTAATTCTGTTTACATTTTCTTCACAAATATCTTCATGAAACTGCGTTGTTGTTTGACAAATATCTATAAGTCACTTCAGTAAAAAAAAAGAAGAATTTAATTATTTGTGTAAATAATTTTAAAATCTACCCTTTTGTTGCAATTTCTAGATTTTGTGAACCTCTTATGAATATTATTTAACAAATACTGTCTTTTCATAAAAGGTTCACAAAATGCAACATATTATCACATGCCAGTTCAAGAGGCAGCAATTTAGTTGCTTTTAAAATATGCAGTATATACTTTTTAAATGAAAGATGTTTAAAAAATTGTTTGCCAAATATTAAGATGTGGTATGTTGTGTTCCAGAATTTTTTGTCGGAAGGTTTTTCACAAAATAAGATAAAAAACCTTTTGAAGAAGTTTATTGTGTTACTTAAATCGAATTTCTCCTACTCAGAGACCCTTTAATGATTTATGCTCACAGCAACTTCTGTAACAAATTATTAGAAACTTTTTGTACTAAATAAGGTCTTTGCATTATTGCATAGGCAAGTCAAAGATTTTGGGCTAAACAAAATCTTTATTTTTGAAAATAAAAAATGGATGCCAGACATTTCAGAAAAATTATTCACCCAAAATAATTTAATTTACTTTGTACATGGCAACATCATAATCTGTTGGTTTTTGCATCTGTTGGTTTCCTAGCCTAAAACCAAACTATGTATTATTGATAAACACACTACATTTTATTACTTAAATCTCTATTAATTGATCAAGTAATTTTATTCCTCAATAGGACAACATTCTAGTGCATTCTGTCTCAAATCTTTACCATCAAACTTTTCTTGCAATTATTTAAGATTTTAGTTTTACGCATAATAGCATTGCAACTGACCCCCACACTTGCTGAAACCTTCAACACTAGTATACCAGAAAAAACCAGCAGCCTCGCCCTACTGAGTCCAATGAGTAACAGATTTCACTTAAACCTTTATTTGATAAACCTTTATTTTATTTAAACTCTTCATTCAGAAAAGAGCCAAAATAAGTCATACACCTAGCTCTTTAATTTTTAAACAACATTTCTCATCTAATTCCACTAATCTGATTAAACATTTTATAAATTTTATTTTTAGAATAAAAGCTTTACGTTTTATTACTCTAAAACAATACATGCACCGTTGTCCAATATCTTAATACTATCATTCAGCCTATCATAATACTATCATTCTCAATCTGATCGTAAACACATGATTTATATATTTTTCTGCAACTAAAATACCAACATTTGACACTCCTTTACATCTAACACAGAAGAATATGTACCAACAACTGTCAAAAACAATAATCTTAACACTGCTACCCCCCCCCCCTAGCAAGTCTCCTGCAAGCAGCATATATTTAGCTTACTCCTGGCTGCCACTGTGATTTGACATCACCATTAACTGATATATCTTTCATATATCAGTAATGGTGTATGTTGTAGTAATGCTGTAAGAAAGATATATTACATTAAATATATCTTTCTTACAGCATTACTACAACATACACCATTACTACAAACAACATACAACATTACTAGGAAAAAAAAATCTTGGTTATAAAAATAAAAAGAATTTGGATTCAAATAATAAACATTTTTAAACTTCTAGAATTCAAATTCCAGGTAATAGATATTGACTCTATATATACATAGCCCAACCAATAGATATTTGAAATATATATACATAGCCCAACCAATAGATATTTAAAATATACATACATAGCTCAACCAATAGATATTTCAAATATATATACACAGCATAACCAATAGATATTTCAAATATATATACATAGCCCAACCAATAGATATATGAAATATATATACAAAGCCCAACCAATAGATATTTGAAATATATATACATAGCCCAACCATAATACAAATAAAAAATAATAGGTATCTTTAATTTTGCTTTTGTTTGTCCTGATAAGGTAAATACGACTAACTTTAGAATAATTTTCCAGAGTCTCTTGAGAGTATACTGTAGATACTTTCTTTTGTGGGAAACTTGCCCCTCATCACACTAAGGGCTTCTATGTTTGACATTCCTTCTTAACTCATACTTTCAAGTAATATTTTCATAAACTTGATAAATTCTTTTGATCTCTCAAAAAATCTTTTGATTAATCTCACACACACAAAAAAAAGTGGAGCCAAGTAGTAAAATCGCAGTTATGCAATCTGTTTCTCTATCATTTCTTCTTATGATTTTCCTATGAACAGCCCATCTAAAATAGATTTGGCAGGTTATGCAGCCACCTGCCCAGATAGTCTTGCGTGGGTTTTATTGAAAAATTAAAACTATGCTTTGATGATAATTTCTAATATTTCCACTGAACTTTTATTTTCTTCTTTCTTTATCGCAGGCATAGTAAAAATATGTTTTTTTAACAAATAATTTACTAGACATTAGAAAATATCAAATAAATATTTAGTAGAAAATATCTAATTTTTAAGGTAATTAAGTTTCAAAGTAATTAAGCTTGGATTAAATAAGTTTGAAACTTCTATCTTTTCTATATTTTTATTAAATGAAACACTTTTTCGCTGCATGCAAGGGTTGAGGGTATGACTTCTATTTATAATAACAAAATTTTGGATTTTGATGTATTATTTAAAAATTGTTTTATACGTTTTATAAATAGTTAATTAACTATGATTGTCATTAAATTATAACAATATTTGTTTTTTAAAGTTTCACACTATAATAATAATAATCAATGCATACATAAATTGACTGATGTGGCCTTAGTTGCAGTGTAGTTACATATGTTTACTGGCTTAAATAGGGATGGGGAAGTAGGGTATGCATATATATTTTTTTTTGCACTCCTAAAATTCAATATAAAGTTGTATAAATTATTGATGGCTAAATGCACAAACACCCTCCAAAAGATAACTAATGTTTCATAAATATATTATATCATTAACTTTTTTATTGTCAAGGTGCATGTTATATTAACATTATAATAGTTTATACTAATGTGTATTATCATTGTTGTTTAATAAGTGGGTAATTCCGCATCAAATCATCCGAAATTTAGGAAACTTTGAACCATTCTTTCTCAAATTTTTTATAAACTTCTTTTGCTGTTGCATCTTAAAAAGTTAACACAAAATTTCAGCTAAAAATGTTAAGCAGTTGACAAGATACGGCAATTTTAATATTGACCTGGTTTCCTAAAATTACCCAATTTTTATAACATTCTAAAAAAACATTTTCCTTAAAAAAATAAGAAATAAAAATAGCAAAAATATGAAAATAAACATATAAAATGTTTTTTTTGATGCTGAATTCAATAAATGTACTTAAAATGCTAAAATATAAAAGGAACATGCTCAAAAGTTAATAAAACAACTAGTTTCTATAAACCAACTTTAAGCCCAATATCTCAAAACACCCTCGTCAAATTTTTTTTTTTATAATCTTACTAGGCAACTGGAAAAACAACTGATAACAATCTAACTTAAAAAATAACTGATAACAATCTAACTGGAAAAACAACTGAAACATGGAACTTTAATTTCAAAAATATATCAAATTTTCAATAAATTAGTTTAAAAAACTTGCAAATAGAATTCTGTAAAATATTAAATTTAGTTTATAGACTCCTTAGAAGAAAAAAACAAAACAATTTTGTTATATTTAAGAAGTCTTAATTATATAACTTAGTTATTTGATCTTAACAACTAAAAAAAAACATCCTGTTTTTTTTTTAAAACTGACTAGGTGTGATATTGAAGTGCATTTGTTTTTAATTTGACAACTATAGTTTGTAAAAGTTTATAACAAATTCAGTAATAAGCAACATTGGTAAAATTTTATTTAAATTTGAAAAATTTGATATATATATATATATATATATATATATATATATATATATATATATATATATATATATATATATATATATATATATATATATATATATATATATATATATATATAGAGAGAGAGAGAGAGAGAGATTGCATATATATATAAATATCTATAAAGAAAATTAACAATATCTATTAGTGTAAAAATCATACAACATAAGGATTCTGAAAAGGTTTGAATTATTTCTACATTAATTTTTTTTACTCAAAATTAAGAAGTAAAAAAGAATTTTCTTTTTTTGAGTAAATACATTCATACTAAGTTATTTATTATAAGATGTGTTCTATTGGCTTAATGACATCAGATGAATGCAAAGGCCAACAAGATGTTATTGAAACTTTAACCAATGAAGAAAAAATAACTATATCATTACGCTGTAACATTGAGCTATCAAACTTAACCATATTATGTGAAAGATATACTACATATGGATTATAACATGCATCTTATAATCCATTCAATAAACATATAAAGAAAATCACAAGTAAGTAGATGTAGAATTTAAATATTTTAATATACATACTTTTTTAATTTGTATTTTCCAAAAGATAAAGAATGTTTCAACAATTGTGCAAATAAGCTTTATACAATTCAACTACTTTTAGAAAATCTTAGAAAAGTTACGATAAATGAGTCACAAATCATGGTGAGAAGTAGTTTGAATATTGCTTCTGGGAAGAAACTTTGTAAACCTTGTAAGCAAAAGATTGCCAGAAAAGAAAATCTTAAACAAGAGAAGCAAAGTCAGGGTGAACAAGATGAGGATTTTCTAATATCATCATTTGAATCAAAAAGACTTGGGATCAATGAAGATCCGAAAATTTTAATATATCTCCTCTAAAATTTTATTCAAAGTCATCAAAACATATACTCTCAGAAGGAAAGCGAAAAGTTGATTATGTTAGCATTCAAAAGAATGTCCTTAAAAAAAAAAAAACTGCTTTTGTGTAATTTAAAGGAACTATATGTATCATACAAAGGAAACAATCCAGAAATACAAATAAGTTACTAAAATTTGCTTCACTTAGACCAAAGTGGTACATTTTGCCAGGTGCACGTGGTACACATTCTGTTTGTGTTTGTTCTTATCACCAAAATGTCATATTGCTAGTAGATACCTTAAATATTGGACTAAAATATAAGGATTTACTTTCAAAAACCGTTTGCTCATTAGAAAACAAAGAATGCATGATTGCACAGTGTGATAATTGTCCTGGTAAAGAAACCCTCACCAAATATATGTATGAAATTTTTGGAGAATACGAAGATGATTTTGAGATACACTACAAGCAATGGCAAACTACTGATTGTGCAACACTATTGAGTTTAAAAGCAGATATTCCAATGTTTGTTGAACTACTAGTATCTTGCTTTGAAAAGCTACAAGCTTATTATTTTATTGCTCACTCTCAATCACAGAATCTTAACTAACTAAAACAATATTTGGATCAATCAAACATTATCATTATTGACAACTTTGCTGAAAATTATACTTTTTTAGTCCAAGATGAAATACAAAGCTATCATTGGAACACCCAACAATGTTCTTTACATCCATTAGTGATATACTATAACGATGATAAAAGTGTACTGAAACATATTTCTTACTGTTTTATATCAGACAACATTACAAATGGTGTAACTTATGTGTACAAATATTTCAACTAATCATACTAATCCTAAAAGCAAAATTTTTCAATCTGTTTAAATTACAATTATTCACTGATGGTTGCGCAGGACAGTACAAAAATTGTAAAATCTTTTACAACCTATGCCAACTAAAGAGGGAATTTGCCCTTAAAGTTGAATGGAACTTTTTTGCCACGTTCCACGGAAAGTCACCATGCGATGAAATTGGCGGTGCTGTAAAAAGTGTAAGCGCAGGACAGTACAAAAATTGTAAAATCTTTTACAACCTATGCCAACTAGAGAGGGAATTTGCCCTTAAAGTTGAATGGAACTTTTTTGCCACGTTCCACGGAAAGTCACCATGCGATGAAATTGGCGGTGCTGTAAAAAGTGTAAGCGCAAGAAGCTTTGTATGAATTTTGTATTGAGAAAATCAAGGTTGTTAACTTCATTTACATAAAGGGAATGGACTTACAATTACAACATGAAGAGCAAAAAGAAAGGTACACTGGTGTAATAACTCTACCTGGTATTCGTAGCTTTCATCAATTTATACATCTTGGAGATAATAGGGTTGGGGCAAAGAGGTGTAGTTCGGACACTAATTATACAATAATCCATAATCTTAAAAAGAAACAAGATATATTTCAACCTGATACTGTCACTTTAGGAGGTTATGTAGCTGTAGTCTATGATGATACACTTATCATCATAGACTACAGCTACATAACCTCCTAAAGTGACAGTATCAAGATGAAATATATCTTGTTTCTTTTTAAGATTGTGGATTATTCTTTTTAAGATTGTGGATTTAAGATTTCTTTCTAAGATTGTGGATGGGCATTGTAACTGAAACCAACCAAGAAGAAGTTGATGCAAAAGTTAAGTTTCTTCACCCAAAAGGTCTATCAATCTGTTTTAACTGGCCTGAAAGAGCAACTACTGTTTTATTCCCAACACCAACATATTGAAAAAATGTGCTCTACAAACGTGTTTTAGTTTCGGTAAAAACTAGTCTAAAAATGCTGAAATAGAAGAAGTATAAGTAAAATGGGAACAATATTGTGAACTATTACAAACAGAGTCAAAATAACTGAAAATAGTCATCTTCGATACCTATAAAAAGTTTTGTATATTTAAGTATTTTTTTAAATTAAGATTCACTTATTTTCATTTTATTTACAAATATTTTTGGGGAATTTCTTAAAAAAGTAATACATCTTTGAAATATTTTAAGTACATTATTGAATTCCGCATCATAAAAACATTATATATGTTTATTTTCATATTTTTGCCATTTTTATTTCTTATTATTTTAAGAAAAATATTTTTATAGAATGTTATGAAAACCGGATCATTTTGGAAAACCAGGTCAATATTAAAATTACAGTATCTTGTCAACTGCTTAACATTTTTAGCTGAAATTTTGAATACAATATTTTTTTATGATTAGGAATGATGTGTCAGAATTTAAAACAAAAAGAAGACACATGGTTCAATGGACTGGGTAATTTGATGTGGAATTACCCAAGTATTATACACATTTTTATTTAATAAATATAATATCAATTATTTTTCATTGATGATATATTAGTTATATCAATAGTTAAATGACTAAAATTTAAATCAATTAAAAAAATAATTCCAATTTATGTTAAATTGAAATAGCCGCAGTCAGGTGCGTTAGGCTAGGCACTATTTTAATCAATAAAAAAAGTTTTTCTAGGTTTAAAACTCAAAAGAAAAATCTTGTGTCACAAAACTGAACACCCTGTCCCCTCTATAATAAATCATCACAAAATCTCTAACCCTTTTTTATTTATTTTATCATTTGTTAAGATTTTAACTTAGTTTAGTTTTGTATTTTTTCACTCAGATTTTCAAAACTTGCAAAGAACCGTGACAAAGTTGCCTAAGCCTTCTCAGGAGATGCATGCAACCATACCCGTCTCCTGAGAAGATGTATATATATTTACTTTATATATGTATATTACTTTATATATATATTACTTTATATATATATATATATTATATATATATATATATATATATATATATATATATATATATATATATATATATATATATATATATATATATGTATATAATATACATATTTATATATATATGTATATATATATTACTTTATATACATACATATATATATATATATATATATATATATATATACATATATATATATATATATATATATATATATATATATATATATATATATATATATATATATATATATATATATATATATATACATATATATATATATATATATATATATATATATATATATATATATATATATATATATATATATATATATATATATATATAGATATTCGAATTTTAACCTATCTAGATTGTTTGGATTATATAAAAATTAGATAAAGTTTCAAATAAAAAACTGCTAATGCATAAGAAAGGTCCTTGCGCTTATCAACTTTGGCCAAAATTTGTCAGTTGATATATGTACATCTATTTATGCTTTTCTCTATATATCAGTTGAATATACTTTAACTTATATAAAACTTTTTCTATATGACAATAGTTGATTGTACATGTTCAAATAATGAGCTAAAAAAGATGTATTGACTAAATTATATTAGCAATAAAAACTACTATTTATATTTTTAAATTAAAAAAAAAAAACTAAAACATAAAAACGGGAGTTACCTAGAATATTCAGATCTTTGATATAATTTCCCTGAACATGCAAACAATGTTCTCTGAACAAACGATGGCGAAAAAACTGCCTACGTGGATCGATAATGTTTAAAAGTTTGTCTGCATAAACCCGACGAGAAGCAGTAAATAAAATAACTTCATATAACTTTGATACTCTTTCCAGAAATTCAAGTAAATGAGGTCGTAATTTCACAAAAAGTTGGTAAGTCACATTATCAAAAACTACATTAAACGTCATGTTGTATGCTTCAAGTTTACTAAGACTACAATGAACAAGGGTTTCATCTAAATCTAAAACTAAAGTCATTTGGGGAGTTCTTCGTGTTGGTAATGGAAGTACAGTTTTCCGCAAATAAGCTTCTGATGGAGGAGGTGGGATATGTTTTATAAAATAAAAAGGATCAAACTCATCTGTTTTTTCTTCTTGCTGTAAAATTGAATGAAAAGGTTTAATTTCAGTGTATGAAAAGTTATTTCCATCAAGATTTTGTGAAACAGTTGAATCATGTGCATTATAAACTGTTTTGCTACATGGTTTATTAAAGAAAGAAAGAACTGGAGAAAAAATAGATCCTAATATTGTTTGGTTAGTTGTTTTTAATTTATCATTTTCATAATTTTCATAATCAAATTCATCACTAATGGATTCATGTTCACTTTCATCACTAATATAATTGTTACATTCTGTAGTAACAATGATTCCTTTATGTACATACTTTTCATTATTTTTATCACAATCAGGTTTAAAAATTTTATTATCATTCTGAAAGGTATTAGTATTTATAGATTGATTATTAGCATCATAAGATCTATTTTCATACGATGACATACATAGAACTTGCTCGTCATTTCCATTTTCGTCTATTCTTTTTTTCTTTTCACTGATAGCAGGCCATATAAGAGTTTTTAGTGTTGAAAACAGATTCATTTCATTTCCAGGTACCACAATCTCGTCGTCATTGTTAGTCTTTTCTTCTTTTCCCATCCATTTACGCTTTTTAGCAACACGTGTATTTTGACTAGCCATAACTAGCATACTCTCGTAATAAATATTATATGTAGCAAAAGTTCAAAATTAAATATAAAACATTATAAACTAGTTTTACTTTTAATTAAACAGAGAATTTTATTCTAAACAAAGTTGTAACGCAATAAAAGTTGTTGCTGCAATTTTCCCACATGACATTAAAAAAAAAAAGAATCACAAAAAATATAAACAACGCTATTTTGGTGACCATAGATCGTTATTATATAACTGATAATTTTATTATTAAAAAAATAGCATAGAAACTTTTTATACAAAAATAATTTATATACAAAAAAATTAATTAAAATATTAAATTTAAATCAAAAAAATTGTTTTATAGACTTTTACAAAATAAATAAAATGTAGTCTATAAATCAAACATAAGTACTTATAACAACATCGAACAGATGTCAAAAAGAAGCGAGTGTTAAAGCACATTTATACGTCAATAGGATTAAAAATGTTTATTTAATACTTAGTGTAATAAATTGTAGAGGCTGCACTGATACCGATGGTACAGAGCAATACCATTCTAATACCAGGCCTATGCATTGGTATTAGAATGGTATCAATAAGTACAGACTGGAATCAATAAGTACAGACTGGCTTCTAAAACCTTGAAACTTAACTTGAAAATCACCTTTCCCCACCCCCTCCCCACATACAAACACCCGTAAAATCGCCAGTCATACATACATGACTAATATTACAGGATGACATCTTGTAAACCATATTAAATTCAAATGGTAGAATTTATAAAAATAAATTAGGCTTTTGGAAAAACCCTAGCATCTGTAAAATGTAATCCTGTCTATTTTCGATGATATCACTGGTTTAAGTTTCATTAATTGGTTATGCGTAAAAAGATGCATCATTATATAATTCTGAGTTTTTACTACTAATTATTTATTCTGCAAAGTTTTAAATCTAATTTATAACCGTATTGGGCTAATTAAATGTCTAACAGTTTAAAATAAAATTAGTAACAGGTACATGTTTTCAACAAGCTTTCAAAAGAGAAAAAACATTCTTCTGTGATGTTTTTGTTTTTGATATATTTATTTATTTTGTTTTTAATTTTTTTAGACAAGTTTTATTTACTAACTTAAAAGTGATTTCCGACATAATGGTAAATTAAAAATATTCAAAAATATTAAATAAAAAATATACTTTAGAAAAGATAAAATAGTTAAAAAGGAAGAAGATTGTACCAATAGTAAAACGTTTTCATTGTGTTGTTTATATATTTATGGAAAATATTCAGTGGCGTTGCTGGGGTTGGTGTCACTCAGTGCAGTAAACTTTTAGTTTCACTCCTCTAGATTTTCACTAACATTTGACAGTCACTAAGAGTCAACAACACAGGTTTCAAATTTCTTAAAAAAAAAAAGGTTGAGGCATTCAAAATACAAATTTTTAATCTTGAATTAAAGACGAAAAATTTTTTGTTGTGTAATAAAGAAATAGCGGTGTCATTAATAAAGAATAGCAAAAAAACCCTGAAAATTCTTGATTATGCCGAACGCAAAAATAAATTAACACGATCCAAAGCAGTTCTGTCAAATTTGCATTTTTTTCATTTTGTTGTGTCAGGTCGTGATGGTGTCATCGGGTACGGCCCGCACCTCCCTAATGACGCCACTGAAAATATTATTAATGTTTATTCTTGTTTTAAATTTTATTAAATTCGCTTAAATTTAATTGAGAAGTAAATAAAAAAAAAGAAACAAGTATTTTTTTATATTCGTTTTTTTTTTCTTGTATTTGCATTTATATTTTATATTTGTTTTTTTTTTTCTTATCTTTATAATTATATTTTATATTCGTATTTTTTTAATAAAGCTTATGTTATTTTTTTATAAATTATAAATGAATCTAAATTTAAATAATTTATATAAAAAGTAAAAAACAAATTAAAAAAAAAAATTCTGAAATAAGTTTTTGTCGTCCATTCTTCCCATTTGAGCCATTTATGACCCAAAGCACTTTGTTTAAATTTTAAAAACAATCTTATTATTCAAGACATTTACATTTTTAGAGCTTATGTTCTGCTTTAGTTTAAAACAAAAAAAAAAGAAAATGGTTTGGTAATTTTGGTAAATGCACAACAGTAAAAATATCAAAAGAATATCAGTACTAATTATAATTTAATTTTTTTTCTAGTTTTTGTTTTACGTGGCTCACAAAGACCTAACGGTCTTGACACAGAGCACCGCAAAAGAGCATTTAACAAGGAAGTTCACACCTCCTTCCCTACATATGAATTGTAATTATAATACAGTTAATTATAAATTACTATTTTAACTTGTTACCTGAAAAATGATATTGGCGGTACGGTAGGCACCCCTTTATGATTTTTACTTACATTTATTTTTATTTTTACCACCATAGAGTTTAAGGCTAGAAAATTAAATGAGTTAACGCTACTTAATCGCAGAATAACTCGTTCTCATTACTGCTTCATTTTCTAATAAAAAGAACAATTCTGCTACTCTGTTCAATCGTGTAAAAAAAATGGTATGAACAGTGGTACCAATGGTATCGTACAATTAGGTTCCCAGACATACGTCGATTGGTTAAAACAGTTCACTCATCTAAATAAAATTTATCATGTAAGTGTAACAACAACACTCAAAAAAATGTGTTCAGAGCGCGTGTTATGTTAAAAACACTAATATTATATAATTTATTATAACAATTAAGCAAATAGAAAACATAAAAAAATAAAAATAAAATAAAATCCAATAAAAAAACATAAAATCCATAAAAAAATATTGCTTTTGTGACCAAGACAAAGATATTTTAAAATTTGCGTGTTTTAAAGAAAGTTATTAATAATGCTCTGAGTCTGAGCATTCTTCAAGAATATTCCTGAATTTCTAGAAATGTCCAGAAGGTCAGAAAATTTTACAGAAAACTGTAGTCTTTTCAAGAGACCATTAGAACTTTCAAGAAACTTCCAGAACTCTCTACAACGTTCTTAAAATCTTTAAAGTAGTCATACAAATATAAAAGAAAAAACTATCCATCCATTACGATGAAGTATGACGACTAGGAAAAAGAATCATTAAAGACTTTTAAAATAGTGTTATTCCTCATCGGCCTTGGATATAAAAAATTTTGACAATGATTTGACAAAATTTCTTCTATCCTTTGTTTCAGGGACAGCCGCGACAATAAGGCACACTATTACTCAAAACACCACCACCACCACCAACAACAACAACAACAACAACAATAACAACAACAAGATATTTATTTTCCTCAAAAATTTCAATCATGTAATTACAATGATAATAATGATTATCATCATCATTGTCATCATCATCATCATCATCATCATCATCATCATCATCATCATCATCATCATCATCATAATAACATTAATTTAAAAAGTAAAACAAAGAACAACTTGAAGTTGGAGCTACTGTTAGCGCCTTAGAAAGTGCTCATACTACCACTGTACATTAATATGTTACTGCTGTAACATATTGTTTAGTGTGTATGTTGTGTCGTATTTGATAATGATTGGCTATATTGTTGTATTTACGTTTGTATTGTATTTGACTGAATATTTTTAAAAAAATTTGTAGTTGTATTTAATTGAAATGTATCAAACCTCTTTGATTTTTGGGGAAAACTAAGAGATTTTTTTTTTTAAATGTTGTAACAAATAATCTTTTTCGTTTTTAACGCTAAAATTTCAACCATCAGTTACCAATATAAAACAATATGTCAAAAATTTTTTTTTGATATTTTGTATCAAATGTATTTGAGATATTTTCAAAATTTTCCTAAAAATTAAGAACAAATGTGTTAAAAGAATGAACGAAAGTTAATCAAAAATTTAAGTAATAAATAGAGTTGATCGTTAGTTTAAAAAGAAAAAAATTATAAAATGATTGTATTTTGTCTTAACCTAAAATTTAAATATTTGTTTTACATAAGGAAAACGCCGATCACATATTTGTGTTTGAACTTGTAGTTGGTAATGTAGAATTAACTTTATTTTAATAAAAGTATTTGACCCCAACCCTGCACATGATTTATGAAAATGAAGTATTTAAAACTTTTTCAACTTTTTCAAACAAATTCAAATGTTATTAAACCATTCAAACAAAATTATTAAAAACATTCAAACTTTAAGTATCTATATTATCATATACAATTTTATGTAAAGTGTGGAGTATGCTTCAACCCTTTTAATATATAAGTTTATTAAACGTTTGTTATAGATTTACAATATAGACTTTTGTTAGTATAATATTGTAAACCTTTGTACCAATAATGTAAACGTTTAATAAACGTATACATTAAAAGATTTGAAATTTACATCTCAAACCAACCGTCTTTTTTTGGTCAACAACTGCTCACTAAACGTAGTATCAACTTTTTGACCAATTTGAAATAATTGATTTTAGATTCTCATAGAGAATTACATCAAAATGGGATGCAGAACGTCACTAAAAGTTTATATTCACAACGCTCAAGTATATAAAAAAAAACCTCAATCAAGCACTTTTAGTGAGACATTTGAATTTAAAAGGCATTATCAAGAACATGATAACAAAACCTTAACGAGTGACTGGAGACTACATTAACTGGCTACTTTGTGAATATGAGTTTAAACTTGCAAATCTATAAAACCTACTCATTTCTAAAGTATTTTGAAATGACTTTGTTTATTCACTTTTTTTTATTTATTTACCAAATAAATAAAAATAAAAGTGAATTTTTTGTTTGTTTATTTAGTATATTTTTTTCTTGTTTTGTCTGAATAAACGAGTTTTTTTGTGTTGTGGTCGTAAAATCAAAGTTTGTAATCAGTGTTGTCGTTTTTCTACACCTTTGTCTTTGTTGATGAAACACAGTGTAAAATGAAAAAAATTTTTGTTAAGTGATTTTCTACTAATTTATATATATATATATATATATATATATATATATATATATATATATATATATATATATATATATATATATATATATATATATATATATATATATATATATATATATATATGTATATATATATATATATATATATATATATATATATGTATATATATATATATATATATATATATATATATATATATATATATATATATATATATCAAACGAAAGATTTTATTTCATTATGTTATATAATATAATTAAAAAGTATA